ATGCTTGCCAGATGTTGCGGTGTGATCGCGCCCCGAAAATCTGCCCAGCATTCGTGCCTTTCGTGCAGCAAATTCTCCATGTGACTGGGGCCAAAAATCCATAGACCTCTACTTGCATCTCCTGGCAGCAGTGGTAAAAGTTTCTTATATTTATCGCTTCTATGGAAGAGGAACAAAGCTATATAAAGGGATGAATTCCTCACTGAGGATTAGTGATTTGGGTCAGCTGGGTAAAGTTCACATTTCCAAGCTAGTGTAGAGGTGCCTGTGGTTCTGTTCTGCCACGCTTCTTACACTTTTGTGTTGCTTCTGCTGAATGCAAGATCACGTCTATCAAGTGAACTCATGAACTTGCATAATAGCGAATCAGACCTTTGGTCTATCGAGCTCAGTTTTGTCTACTCTGGCTGGCGGTGTGTCTACAGGATCTCTAGTGGAAGTCTTTCCCATCACCTGCTTCTGTTTATTAGAGGTGCCAGGGATTAAACCTGGGATGTTTTGTGTGCCAAGGGGATGCTGTTCCTATGAGCCACAGACCCTTTCCATGGCTTTAGGTTAGCTGGAACTGTATTGCTTCTACATCATGTACAGCACCGAGCACAACGTGGGTGCTAAAAGAATCTTTCTGTGACAGATTTAGCCTAGGGGCCAAATAAAAAAAGGAAAAGGGGGGAGGGGTAAGCAGGAAGGAAATATACCTCTAGCCATCCCAAGCTCCTTCCTTGACGTCTCTTACACTTCAAGAAATTGAGCCGTAGTGCAGATCACCAAATTCTCCCTAGCGATTCACTCTGCAGCTGCAAAGGCATTAGAAGGGTAATAACAGCCCTAATGGGAGTGATGACTAAAACAGTTGGATAAAGTGATCGATTGTTTGGGGTGGGAAATTGGGAGCGATACAAGCTGTCGATCATCTCAGGCAGAGTGGCTTATTGTAAATACAAAAATCATTAAAATGTGAAGGCCGGACTAGGAAATAATTTCTTTGTTCGAAACGGAGGAGCGAATAGGGGTGTCTGTGCCTCCGCTAATGACGAACAACGTTTCTTTTGAACACGATGATCAGCCATCGGCCCTTCCAGTGTTTTAGCGAGCAGGTTATTCATGAGGGCTGAGCGACTGGGAGGCTTCCTTGAAGTGATTGGGATACATAATGATGCCGATAAGAATGCGCCCCAGATTAATCTCTGAGGTAATTACACAGTGACACGCGCAGCAATTCTGGGAGAGAAATCTAAAACCGTGAGCCATTTGTCAGGCCGTTTCAACACTGCGGGCTGAGAGGATTCTCGTCTTCAGGGAGCTGAGGAGGGTTGTGTGAGTTCAGGAAGCGGCTGAGGATCCCTGCTGGGCTACGCTCTTCACTCTGCCACTCCTGAAAATTTAGTCCTGGGTGGAGCTGAGCTTAAATCCTCTCAGAGTTTTCCACAAGCCATTTTCAGCTGTACTGAAAACGGTCTCCCTCTTCTAGACTATTATGGGTACTCCTTTTGAAAACGTGTACCGTGTTCATTTATGAGGCCCCCATTTTCTCTCACTTTCTGCAACCTAAGAGGTGTCTTTGTACAGCCAAATCTAACTGGCTTCCTAATTCTGCGGTGTCATTGTGCTTGCTGCGTGATTCCTGATTGGCTAGGATGAGGCATGTGACTAATTAGGAAAGCACTGTTTTTAGTTGCCTCCAATGATATTATTGCACAGCCAAATGTGATTGGCTGCCTACAGCTATGACATTGTCCTGTTCATGATTTGATCCCTGGTTGGCTTGGATCACCCAAATTTTTAATCCAGGCAGGAGAAAGATTACAGCAGCCTGGGAAGAAAAATGGTTGTGAACTCAAGATGGCAAATGTGGCTCTTCCCTCTGCCATTTTATCCTACCAACAATCCTGTTACACTAGGGGAGAGCAACTGGCTCAAAGTTGTTTCATGATGAGTATGGATTTGAACTTGTCTCCCCTCAGAGCTAGGCCAACCAGGGAAGTATAGCCTAACTACTATACTTCCTCATTTGCTTTCTCATCAAAAGGTGATTTTTTAAATGGTGTGCCTTTTTCTTCACAGGTGAACAGGCAGGTATCTGTAAGGAACAGACAAGGCCTTGGCCCTACCAACAGGCCACCTGATCTCCCTTTTCTTAATTGTCAGCCTATAGGGCAGGGCCCTGTCAAGTGATCTTAATAGGCAAAGGAGTCCATTTAGGGAACAGTGATCCCTAATCTATGTGGCTCTCATACCAATATGAGCAGTCAACGAGTTTCCGCCAGGCTTTCACATAGGGGCCACCATTACCACTGCCACCAATGAGGTGGACAACATCGGGGTAAGGATGGCCCAGGAAGATCTGCCACAATTTCTGAGTGGCCACTGGATTTACCTGGCTGAGCTATAGGATAACATCACCCTGGAGAACCATCTGGAGACCATCTTGTTAAATTTAGTATAATTTTATTAATTGTCATTAATGTTTTATTGCTTTTATCTGTTTTATATGGGCTTTGCCCCTTGTAAGCCGCCCTGAGCCTGCTCTGTGGGGAGGGCGGGGTATAAATCTTAATAAATAAATAAATAAATAAATTCTTCACAGAACTCACCTGTAATGGTTGTTTCTTCTCCATGTGGAAGAACCAGTTGTTCTATTCAGTTTCATGCTCGTTATAATCCCTGTCCTTTCCTATTAGTTTTTTCCCCCAGTTGCTACGTGTCAGTAAGTCTCTATCTATTTTTATCTTCTCCTTCATCTAAGGCAGAGATGTCGAACTCATTGGTTATGGGGGCCGGATCTGACATAAATGAGACCTTGTTGGGCTGGGCCATGTAGGGTTGCCAAGTCACTCACGGTTTAAAGTGGGGGATAGTTGGTCCCGTCCCTCTAATAAATGGTACCATAGAGTTTCCAGGCTGATTGCTAGAGCTTCAGCCTATGACATGCCCAACGTGATGATGTCACTTCCGGGTGACATTGGGCATGTTGGCCCGATGGGGGCGGAGTTCCTCTGCTGGTCTGATCCGGACCAGCGGATTGGGGACCCTTTGAGCGGGGGAACGTTTGCCCTCCTGGGGGACATGACAGCCCTAGGGCCATGTGTTTCATAAAATGTAATGCCAGGTAGCGGAGATATAAACTTTATAAAGGACACAAACACAACGATTTTTTTTACTCAATAAAAACATGCTTAAAACATTAGCACTCTTGCAATGTTTTGTTTATTTAACAGTATTTAATAACTGACACCTCTTGCTCTGAATCATTGCATCAAAATGTCTATGCTGTTGGAATCTTAAGTATGCTGTTCAAGTGTGTATTTGTAAGCTGCAAACCTACTTTTGATTTATTGACATTCACCACAGAAATCTCATGCTCAGAGTTCTGAGTCTATGACCCAGGGGAAAACATGAAATGGCTGAGCGATTGAGAGAGTCTGGCAAAGCAAGCTATGATGCAGCAGCAGAACTGGAAGCAGGAGATGGCCAGTTCCAGTGTGAGCCTGATAGAAGCTCTCTGGGGGCCTGATCCGGCCCCGGGCCGCATGTTTGTTGCCCCTGCTCTTAGGAGCTCAAGATGGTCTACATGGCTCCCCAGTGAGCTCTTCGTGGCTGTAGGGGGATTTGAAAGTTACTACTACTACTACTACTACTACTACTACTACTACTACTATTTCAATTTATATCCTGTCTTCCTCGCTGAGGCGGGCTAGGGGTTGCTTACATACCATTCCGTGAGATACAGTACAATTAAAAGCCTGGCAAAATATATAAGCAAATCACATAAAATAACAATAATTTAAAATATACCTAAAATCGCTGGAGCATCTCCCTTATATATAAAAGCCGAATGGTGGTGGCACTTCTCTAGAACATTCCACACACTCCGGACTCAGAATCTGTCCCTATCCATTGGCTGCATTGCTTGAGTCTCACCTCCAACATTCTAAACAGTTTGCTGTTCCCCTCCCCCCCATAGCCAGTCAGAACACAGAGGTTATTTGCATATGCAGCCTCATTGGCCTTTATCTCGGAACACAGAGTTCATTTGCATATGTGACTTGATTGGCTTTTGCCTCTAACATTCTAAACAGTTTGCTGTTCTGAGGTAAAATGTGTCCAATCTCCAGGTGAGGGCTAGAGATCACTCAGAATTACAACTGCTTTCCAGATGCCAGAGATCAGTTCCCCTGGAGAAAATGGTGGGCTCTGTATCCTTATATGCTGCTGAGGTAGCCCCCGTATGATAGCCAATGTGAGGTAGCAGTCAGAGTTTCAGAGCACGGGAGAGGCTGCAGCTGTGGGGGGGGTGGAAAGCTGAAGAGTGAGGGGGAAATAAAGATAGGTTGATGATTGGCTGGGAAGGAGATAGGGTTGCAAACTCCAGGTGGGAAATTCCTGGAGATGTGAGAGATGGAGCCTGGAGAGGGTGAGGTTTCAGGAGGCGTGGGACCTTGGACAGGTACAAAGCCATAGACTCCACCCTCCAAACCAACCATTCCCTTCTGGGGAACCATCATTGCCAATCTCCAGGTGAGGGCTGGAGATCACTCAAAATTACAACTGTTCTTTAGGTAGCAGAGATCAGTTCCTCTGGAGAAAATGGTGGACTCAGTGTCATTATACCCTGCTGAGGTGGCCACAGCAAATTGACACTGAGTGTCCAAGGCCGGGGCACCCGCCCAGAGCCTCTTTCTAGAGCTTGTTGTATATATTTCCACAACGAGCCTTTTTCCTAGTATCCAAATAAAACAAAAGCAAACAGTCTTTATGGCCTGGCTTAGATGGCCGTAGAGTTCCAATAGCTTCCATACCAGCTTAGTTCTCTCACTTACTGTGTGATGGGCACAAGCTAGAGATAGCGTTGGTACACCAGAGCATGGCTGGAGATAGAAGATGGTAACACAGAGGCACTCCTCGGTATATATGGATCTCCCAAGTCCTACACTCTAACCACTAAAGTTCCCTGGCTCACTTTGACTGATGGCATCCTTTTCTGTGTTTGGCTCCTGCAGGTGGGCCATGATGGGGCGACGCCTGAAAGCTCCTGGCTCCTGGATGAGATGACAATCATCGTGCCCACCAAAGGCGTCATGTACACCTTTGTCTGTAAATGCTGGCTGGCCAGGGACATGGGCGACGGACTTACCTCACGAGTCTACAACATCCTGGATGCCGATTGTGTCTTCATTGGCCTGAAGGTCATTCAGTACATCTTTTTGTTACATTCTGAACTGTCTCCTGAGACTGGCGGAACACTCTCCCGAGTGAGATCGGGGCCCTGCAAGATCGGCTTCAGTTCCACAGGGCCTATAAAACGGAGATGTTCCGCTGGGCCTTTGGTTGTGGGGATGGGTGTTTCATCATTCTAGCCTCCCCTCCCTCCCAACTTAGCTTATTCAGTAATTGTGGGGAGTGTTCGCCCACCACCCTTTTTAATCTCGGGCATTTTATAGACCCACGAGCCATCTTGGTATGTTAAAAAAAATTTAAGTATTGAACTGTAGAATGCTTTTTATTGTTTTATTTGTATTTTGGTGAGAGCCAGTTTGGTGTCGGAGAGCCAGTTTGGTGTAGTGGTTAAGTGTGCGGACTCTAATCTAGGAGAACCAAGTTTGATTCCCCACTCCTCCTCTTGCACCTGCTGATGTGACCTTGGGTCAGTCACAAGCTCTGGCACAGCTGTTCCTGAAAGAGCAGTTTGTGTCAGAGCTCTCTCAGCCCCACCCACCTCACAGGGTGTCTGTTGTGGGGAGGGGAAGGGAAAGGAGTTTGTAAGCCGCTCTGAGACTCCAAGTGAAGGGCAAGGTATAAATCCATTATCTTCTTCTTCTTTTTTAATATGCTGTGAGCCACTCTGAGCCCTGCGAGCAGGGAAGGGTGGGGTAAAAATCCAAACAATAAATAAATAATAAAGCATGGCAGTTCTTTCTCAGAGATTTAAAAGAATAATTAAATAGCCTAGCCAACTAGATTTTGGTTATTCCCATGCATTCCCCCGTGCTTCTGATGACTGCACGGATTAGATGGGGAGCACAAGAACACGGTGAATAAATATCGTAAGTAGGATCCCGTTGTGTAACTTCTGCATTGTTTAATGTGTCATGTTAGTCCTTATGCTTTGCTTCAGTCCCATTTGTAGACTTCTGCTTGGTCCTGCAACCCTAATCCAATTGCCATGTTTATCGAATGACCCATCCTGTTGATCTGTACTGAGTCACTCTGTTTAATACGTCTTGAGTCCAAGTGAGAAAGGCAGGCGATAAATTTATGTAACTAAATAAACATGCAACCTCCGACTTAGAGTCGCTGTGACTATTGAGTATCAGACCCTGCGATTCAGGGGTGGAGCCTGCTGGGGTGTGGGTGGGGCTTAGTGGTGCCTTGTGGGGATGGAGAGGATAGCACACGGCTACTCACGGAAGAGCCTCCTGTGCCTGGTGTATCGGAGTGGGGCCTGATGAGTACAGCAGGTGGGTCAAATAGCAAAAGCTATCCCTGGCCCTTTCTGCATCTCCTTTTAATCCATACTCAGCACAGTGTCCTCCTAGCAATTCTGCACTAAAATCAAATTCAGCCTTCTTCTTAATCCAGTTTCCCCCCCTATTCTGCACTAAAATCGAGTTCAACCTTTTTATTCTGTCCCCCCCCCCCATTCTGCATTACATTCCCACCCTTCAGTGGTCAGCCTGGTTTCAGCCTGCCGTTGCCCTGGGTTATTTGGATGCTGTTTTGCCCTGGACTTAAATTGCCTTGACTCGAACACTGAGAAAATCCAGAGTGGCGGGGAAATGCCGAATGGACCCCTGAGAGATCCTAAGGCCAAATTCCAAAAGTTCAGATCAAACCCTAAGGCCTGCTGACCCAACTCTGAACGTAACTGGCAAAAAAAATAAAATAAAAAAATTCTAGCACACATTTTCCAACACATAATTTGTCTTTTTTACTTTACCTAGATATTCTCATAACTTCAGATTTCGAGGAACCAGCCCCACATAGCCCATAAGCTAGCAACAACCTTGCTCCTTCACATGCAGCTGCTGGTGTGACTTTGGGTCAGTCACAAGTTCTCTCAGAGCTGTCCTCTCAAGAACAGTTCTTGAGAGAGCTCTCTCAGCCCCACCTACCTCACAGGGGTGTCTGTTGTGGGGAGGGGAAGGGAAAGGAGATTGTAAGCCGCTCTGAGACTCCTTCGGGTAGTGAAGGACGGGGTATGAATCCAATCTCTTCTCTTCTTCTTTCCTCAGATTCTCTACGAAGTGACCGTTGTGACTGGAGATCTCCCAGGCGCTGGTACGGATGCCAGTATTTACATCATGCTCTTTGGATGCAATGGGTGTACCGAAGAAATGCAGCTGGAAAAGGATGGAGATCGGTAAGGGTTACTCTACCGAATCTGTTGCTTCCGAAGGGCCCATCGCCATGGCTGGATGGGACCGTGGGTCTCTGCAGGGATAGCCATGTCAGGGTGGAGCCTGGGAAATTCCACTGTAGGATCCCACCGTGGCCAGTGCGCTGTCGGATGGCTTTGGGCGGTCCCTCTCCCATCTCAAAAAAAAAATGGAACTGACAGGTAAGGCCTGCACAACTTATGACGCACCAAACCGGACTCAGCCCACCAGCCAAGCATTAGGCCTAGTAAAGCTATGTCTTACTGGTGCTAGCCAAATAAGCATATGTGGATACCAGCAGCTCCCGTTTAAGGAACTACATGTCCCATGGTTCCTTGTTTCTACATCACAGTGCAACCCAAAGCTTTCTGGTATACCACCAACGTATGCAGACACCGTATGCCCGAGGCTAGAAGCTTGCTTTCTTCTAAACTGTTTTGGATTGCTAGCTATTGGGGGGAGAAACGTGCAGATCTGTCCTCACAGAGGAGGGAGAGCTTGTACCTGAATAAAACTTGGTCTTAAAGGTGCCACTAGACTGTTTTGGACCGGGGGGCCGGGGGGAGCTCTGCAACTTACCTGACTGCTTCTTGCTCTGACTGAGGGCTGCTGGGAGCAGGGGGTGGGGCTTGTTGCATGTTTCCCCCCCCCCTGGCTCTTTACTGCCGGAGCTCCACTCCTGTGCGCTCCTGCAGGAAATGACCCCTGGTTCTATCCCTTAAAGACATTCAGGCCTTTCATGCACTTGCATGGAATTCACAAAAGCCCTTTTCGGTCATCACGGTTTTGTCACTCCAGCCTTGCGTAATGAGAGAATGTGCCACCTGCAGTCCTTTGACACTCATGGCCGCCATTGTGTGGAATACAAATGCAAGTTTCCAGTTGCCCATACCAAAAGCTGGAAAATATGCGGGTTGCCTTACTCACCCCAAATGGCAGCCAAGTACATTGAGAGGAGTATGCACAGCCTGTTCTCATCTTATGTGCAGTTGGATCACATGGACACATGAAACTGCCTTATACTGAATCAGTCCATATAAGTCAGTATCGTCTACTCAGACAGGCAGCAGCTCTCCAGGGTCTCAGGCTGAGGTCCTTTACACCACATCACCTGGGGCAATGATGCTCTGAGAGCCAGTTTGGTGTAGTGATTAGGAGCGCAGACTCTAATCTGGGAGAACTGGGTCAGTTACAAGTTCTTTCAGAGCTGTTCTCCTCGGGAGCAGTTCTCGAAAGAGCTCTCTGAGCCCCACCTACCTCACAGGGTGTCTGTTGTGGGGAGGGGAAGGGAAAGGAGTTTGTAAGCCACTCTGAGACTATTTTGGATAGTGAAGGGTGGGGTATAGATCCAATCTCTTCTCTTCTTCTTCTTCTTGGTGCTTGGGGGGCAACAGTGGGAGGGCTTCTGGAGTTCTGGCACTGCTGATGGCACCCGGGTTTTGGCCACTGTGTGACACGGAGTGTTAGACTGTATGGTCCATTGGCCTGATCTGACATGGCTTCTCTCATTCTTTACACTGGGGATTGAACCTGGGACCTTGTGCTTGCCAAGCAGATGCTCTACCACTGAGCCCCAAGCCTCTCGACTGAACGGCTCGAGGCCTGCGAACATCCCAGTGTACGAATACGTGAGAATCAACCATTTATGAAGCTGTCATTTGTCTTCAGAGCCTTCTGTATATAATAACACCAGGCGCTATACAGTTTAGGAAGAAACCTTCTATTTAAACCGTCACAGATAATAAGACAATTTAATTTACATTAGCGTTAACCGCAGATAGCTCCAGGCAACACAAATATTGATAAGTGGACGGGAGAGCTGGAACGCCGGGCGAAATCCTCTCAAGAAATGAGTCAGTTCCTTAAGGAAGGCACCGTGCCAAGCAGCTTCTCAGCCCCGTTCTCTTATTAGTCTTTTATTCAGATTTATACTCTCGCCTGCATACAAATTAGAGCTATCAAAGACCTCTCCAGCCATCCAGTTCGTCTCCTTAGGGCGATAGCCTCTGTGTAATTTAATCAGTGCGTCGGAGTAACGGGGTGGATACCACTCGGACAGGATTATTAATGGGAACCTTCAAATGTGACATTGGAGGCTGCCGGGAGTGGACTGATAGCTGGTTGCTCAGCCTGGACGGATTAACCCTTATGGTCTGTACATTCAAGCGCTGGTGCATTGGGCTGGGGTAGTGGAATGTGCGTATATTTGTTTAATTCAGTTACACATTGCCTTTCTCCTCACCGGGGACCCAGTTCTCCTCTCCTCCATTGGGATGTGGAGTGGGGAGGTGCAAGGGGGCACAGAATGGGTTATTCCCTGGCCTACATGCCACATTCACACCTGCATGTCTGTGCATACCTTCCATCTGTCCTTCAGCCAGCTTCCACCCTAAGTGGGGAAGGGCATGGGAGTTTTTGCTGAGAGCCAGTGCAATTCAGTAGAATGTTGTACAAGAGAGCCTGGGTTCAAGTCCCCACCCAGCTGTGAGAGTCACGTGTGGGGATGGGCATGAATCAGAAAAACAAGGTTCATGTCAGTTTGTGATTTGTAGCTGAACCACAAACTGAACTGGGAGGTTTGTTCATGAACCAAACCAGTTCGTGGTTTGTGGCCCCACAAACTCTGTTGAAAAGGACCATAGTCCCTTTAAACAGGGTTTGGAGAAATCCTGAAAAATGACTGAGCAGTGGGAAGTGCTTCCCCTTTAAAGGGACTGTACAAGAAAGCCCGGAAAACAGCTGAGTGGTGGGGAGGCACTCCCCTCCACTGAGCTGTTTTTGTGGCTTTTGTAGGGAACAGAAAGAAGTGATTTAAAGGGACTCTGAGTCCCTTTAACCCCCTACTTTCTGCTCTATCCATAAACTGCCAGGACCTGCCACAAACTGCTTTAAAATTTCATGAAAGTTTGTGACGGTAGTCCCGTCACGTACTTTGGGTTGCGAACCACAAACAGGGCAAAATTTTGCTTCGTGGTTCAGTTCGTGCCCATCCCTAATCGCATGAAGCGGCCTTATAGTGAATCAGACCATAGGTCCATCAAAGTCAGTATTGCCTACTTAGACTGGCAGCAGCTCTCCAGGGTCTGAGACTGAGGTCTTTCACAACACCTACTGCCATATCCTTTGACTGGAGATGCTGGGGACTGAACCTGGGACCTTCTGTATGCCAAGCAGATGCTCTACCACTGAGCCACAGCCCTTCCCCACCTTAGGCCAGTGGCACTCCCTATTTCACAGGGTTGTTGTGGAAATAAAATTAAGGAGGAGAAACTTTTACATCCACCATCTTGAAAGGAAATGTGGGATAAACCTGGACAGGTTGCGCTGATGCTTGCTCTGACCATGGACTGAAAATAAACCCCCAAAATGAATATTTTTTTAAAAAATGTCTTAAACCGTCAGTCATAAGAACATAAGAGATGCCAATGTTGGATCAGGCCAAAGGCCCATCCAGTCCAACACTCTGTCACCCAGTGGCCAGAAATACCAAGGTGCCATCAGGAGGTCCACCAGTGGGGCCAGGACACTAGAAGCCCTCCCACTGTTGACCCCCCCCAAAGCACCAAGAAGACAGAGCATCACTTCCCCCAGAGCACATCTATACCTTGTGGCTAATGCTCCATATGCTTATCTAATTCCCTCTTGAAGCTGTCCATGCTTGTAGCTGCCACCACTTCCTGTGGCAGTGAATTCCATGTGTTAATCACTCTTTGGGTGAAGAAGTACTTCCTTTTATCCGTTCTAACCCAACCGCTCAGCAATTTCATGGAGTGCCCACGAGTTCTTATATTGTGAGAAAGGGAAAAAAGTACCTCTTTCTCTACCTTCAGTCGCACAGTGAAGATAATCTTATAAACCTCAATCATGTCACCCCTCAGTCGTCGTTTCTCCAAGCTAAAGAGCCCCAAGCACTTTAACCTTTCCTCACAGGGAAAGTGTTCCAACCCTTTTATCATTCGAGTTGCCCCTTTCTGCACTTTCCCCAAAGCTATCAGTTCATTTGGCCAGGTCAGAACACAGAGTTGTGACTTCTACTGAGTCAGACCCTTGGTCTATGAATATCAGTATTGTCTACTCTGACTGGCAGCCCCTTTCCGGGGTCTCAGGCAGAGGCCTTTTGCATTACCTGTTACCTGATCCCTTTACCCAATGGGCGGACTGGGAGGAGGAGAATCGCTTCTAAGTT